TCTATTCTATTCTATTCTATTCTATTCTATTCTATTCTATTCTATTCCATTCCATTCTATTCTATGTTGTGCAGAATATGACATACATATAGATACGTATGACTAGTTTTTTTTCCTAACTACTTCTATAAGGGTTATTCTTTATATTATTCATGTGGTCTTGTATTCTTATATGGACTGCACCTGTAGAGGTTAAACCAATTGCGTTGTATACATGATATACAATGACAATAAAGGCTTTGAATCTGAAGTAAACCCTTATTAAACTTTTTTTTAAAAAATTAGAAGATACAATATCAAACAAACTAAAAATGCAAAACAAAGAGAAAAAAAGTATCTACCTTCTATTTCCCACTTAGTAATAGTCACTGGCTTACTCAGTGATAAACTATTATCCGTGCAAAATATTACTGTAAAATATCCCACACATCTCTTCCTTGCTCTTTAAACTGATGTCCAAAACATATCAGAAGCTTTGCTCAATGCAGAGTGGGAAGTGTACCCCAAAGCAGGAACTTACACCTATCAGATAAAGGGGAAAGAAAGAAATATTTCTAGAAGGCTGGACCTTTAGATATCTATGGCAAGTGTAGGGACTATGATGGGCCTGCCCTATCAAACAAACTCAGCAGAGGTTGCCTTGCCAAAATTGTATGCCTGAAACTTTGCCTGGCTCGCAGAGATGATCCCACCAATGAGAAGCCCTCCTGGCCTGTAAAAATTTAGAGGGTGTGCTCCATCCATCTTCAACCTCAAGGAGCACTTGGTTTTGAGTTTGCTGTCCACTACCTGGGATAGCAGCAATGCAAGTAGAAAAAAGAGGGCCATTCCTTTCATGGCTGGCTCCAATTCTTGCTTTGGCACAGCTTATTTGAAATCACAAGAAAGAGTTTAAAACTAGCTTAATCCCCAGACTGAAGCACGGATGGGTTTCCTGTTTCAGGTGGAGCCCAGCTCAGGTTGAACATCTGAAGAAGATGAGATCTTTGGCACTATCTCTGCCCACCCACCCACAAAATCATCCACCCCAGGCATTTATTCACCATGTCTTTGTGATGTAAAACCTTAGCATATGTTGTTGCTCCTGAGCCAATTCTTTCTATGGCAAACAATTTGTTAGAAAAATAAAATCTCTGGAGTTTTGGTACAAAACAAACAAATAAATTACTATTATTTGCATAATTATAAGGTGGAGAAAGTCCATCTGCAACATCCTGAACAATCTGGGATTCTGGTCAGATGAGATTGCATGATATACTTTCTAGGTACATTTCAGCATTAGCACGATGTTTTTCTTCTAACAATGGTCCTTCTGCAAAATAAGTTTATTTAATTCAGTTTGTTCAGGGCATAAAACTCCCTGGAAGAATTTTTGGAACAATCTCCCTCTCTCTGTCCAACCTAACTCCCAAGATTTTTGCCGTGCTAAAAATTGGAGGTGGGGCCGTATATATGCCAGCTTGAGTTGCACAAAATAAAGGCAAGATGTAAACCTTACAACCATGGTTGATAGAGGTGGTATTCAGCAGGTTCTGACTAGTTCTGGAGAACCAGTAGCAGAAATTTTGACTAGTTTGGAGAACCAGCAAATCCTACCTCTGACTGGAGATTTTACAGTATCCTTCCACTGCCATGCCCACCAAGCCACGCCCACAGAATCAGTAGTAAAAAAAAAATGAATCCCACCACTGATGGTTGAGTTCACTCCTGGTGAAGTTATGGAAGCAGTCCAGCACAATCTGCTTCTGTTCATTCAACCAGAACCATGATTGGTGGTCACTGATTTCCCATTTAAGAATTAACCAGGTCCAATGCCGCTTAGCTTTTCAGAGCTCAGAGCAGGGGTGGGATTCTACCAGTTCACAACTATTTGCTAGAAGCGGTTGTTAACATTCTAAGCAGTTCGGAGAACCGGTTGTTAGAAGAAATTACTAGCCTAATCCTGTAAGGAAAGCAGGAAGGAAACATTCTGGTGTTGCTTACAGAAACTGCTTCTCCGTTAACCCTTATTACATTCTTGGCAGGACTAGACTTCCTGTCTCAGGAATGTCTCTGGAGTTTTTTCCCCCTCCTTTGCTGGTACTTTGCTCATATGGAGTGACAATTCAAAGTTACAATGGCACTGAAAAGTGACTTATGACCATTTTTCGCACGTATGACTGTTGCAACATCCCCAGTGATGAGAGGTCAGGCGAGGAGATGCATGCCTCGGTGTGAGTGATATTGAGTTGGCCACACCCAGCCAATAACATGACCACCAAGCCATCCCTACCACCTAAACCATGCCCACAGAACCAGTTGTTAAAAAATTTGAATCCCACCCCTGGCTCAGAGCCAAGGTTGGTTCATCCCATTTGTGGATGATACATGATATAATTTAATTAAGTAATTAATTAATTGCTACCCAACTCCAGTGGAGTCTGGAGTTGCAGTGAACTAATTAATTCATTGTGAAGAGCTTAATGAACTAATGAGTTGGAGAGAACTAACTAATTTGTGAAGAATTAATTCTAAAACAATGAAGGCAACCTTTTTTTTCCTCCTGAAGTTAATAATCTAATATTTCTTTATTAGATTTTCATTCTGTGGTCATATATGATTCTTGGTGGTGATGCAAGCAATCAAAAACCATCTACTGTAAAATAAAAAGATGTAACTCACGATGAATTACCCGAAAACAGTTGAATCCAAATTTAAAAACAGAATAATATATAAATGCAATTGTATTTAATTTCATTCATATTTTTAAAAGGTAAAGGTTTTCCTTATCCAATTGTGTCCTATTCTAGAGAGCTGAACTCATCCCTATTTCTTAACTGAGAGAGCCCTTGTTGTCTGAAGACACTTCCATGTTTATGTAGCCAGTGTGACTATACACTGAGGTGCACCGAATGGGGCGACTTTCCCACCGAAGTGGTACCAATTTACTTACTCACATTTGCAGGTTTTCAAACTGCTAGGCGGGCTGGAGCTGAGGTGAGGGTGGGAACTCACCCAGAATTTTCTTGCCAGCATGCTGATTGTGGGAATTCTGGGAGTTGAATTCCACGTATCTTAGTTGCTAAGTTTGAAAGAGACCAGCCTAGGTAATTACACACACATACAATGTCCCTCTGTAGTTCCACAAATGTACCACTATGACACAAGATCAATAGTAAGGATTCTTTATATCAGATATTTTCAAAAAAAACATGACAGGAGGATGGACAATGCCAGCTGTGTGAAGTCCCCAAGATGTGAAAATCAGCCAAGGCAGTGTTTCCCAACTTTGGCCATTCCCAAGAGTGTAGACTTCAAGTCTCAGAATGCCACAGCCAGCATGGCTAGCAAATAAAAGTTCTGGGAGTTGAAGTCCACTTATCTGGAAATCACCAAGGTCTTGAGTTAATGAAACGCTCATCATATGAGAAGCCCTGTTTCTCTGCTGAGGGGAAATGTTACCTTTGAGCAGTGATGTTATTGTTCCTTAAAAAGAATAAAGATGAACTCTGCATCAGTTAGCCATTAATCTGTCTGAAAGGTAATGGAGGTTTGATAAGAGCTGGCAGAGATCCTTTTCGATTAGCATTTTCCTTATTGACCTTCTTCATACATGCTGGGACTCCAGAAGGCAGGATGGAAACAATCACACTGACTTGGAAAAGCTGAAAGCTGCAGCCCCACCTGACCTAAAGAGACCAAGACTGAGGGGAAAAGCCACCTTAGATCCCCACTTGTTTCTTGTTCTTCTTGATTATAGATTTTTCCAGATGTAACACATACTACAACCAAGACTGAGAAGCAGACATAACAGCCTTAGTGAGTGATGGAAAGGCGAGCGTTTCCAAACACATAAAATAAGGGAAGGATCACCTCTCCAGCGAAGGGGGGTGCAGAAAATGCAAAGAGAGGAGCTCCTGTATCGGCATCAAAAAAAGTCACCCACCCTCCTTCATAGTTCAGAATTATTCTGATCTTCTTGGGCATCCTACGTAACGTCAAGGGGGTATAGAACGGAGGGTTGTATGCTGTGTAGTTGCCGTCCCACTTCCCCACGGCCCAGAATCCTTCTTCTGGACTAAATTCAATGTCTCCTTTCCTCCTTATAGACTTTCGGGCAACTCCTACACCCCAGGTGTCGTCTGTCCCCACAGCGACTTCCCAGAAATGCCTGCCAGTAGTGAATCCTGAACAGGCTAAGACAAAAGGCCATTCGTCAAATCTTTCTGGGGTTTTGGGTAGAGGTTGATAAAACTCGCCCATTTTCAGGCTTTTACAGTCGTCTGTCAAAATGAGACGAGGGTGAGCTGTGTCTGGATCCAGAAATACATGTGCTGTGGGGGGGAAAGAAAGATAAGAAAACAAAAGAATAAGCGGAGTTAGTTAAAATGGCAGCATGATATTGATGCAAATCAAGATATCGGTTGTCCCATTATAAGGCCCTACATGGCTCAAGAGCTGGATATCTCTATATACAATATCTGGATATATAGAGAGCTGTGGTGCAGCGTTGCAGGCCGACTCTGCCCACTCAATGTCAGAAGTTCAATTCTCACTGACTCAACTCAGCCTTCCATCCTTCCGAGGACAGTAAAATGAGGTGCCATATTGTTAGTGGGCAATATGCTGACTCTGAAAACACCTTAGAGAGGGTTGTAAAGCACTATGGAGCAGTATATAAGTCTAAGTGCTATTGCTATAATTGTAAAGGACCACTCATTTCAGAGCAGAAGTTTCCTATTATGAGGATGGTCCATCCATCAGGGCTCATCTCTTCCTCTCATCGTTGATTCCTCTATCAAACTCATCCTGACAGAAAGAGCAGTTTTGTGATGACCTGGGGCGTGGTATAAAGGCAACACAGTCAAATAAGCAAGAAGAGTCTCTTTTGTTATCTCCAACTTTGCCCCCCAATGTCCAGGTTACCTTCGGCTGGAGAAAAACTCTCCCAGGAACAGCTTTTAACTGGAGAAAATTCAGTCCAAAACAAGGTACATACAGACTTTAACTAAAAATCCAAACAAACCAAGCTGCAGTAATTAAGTTGACAGGGCAGAAGAAGGACTTTCAGACTTGAAAGCAATGCAAAGTTCACACAGTTGGGAAGATGCCAGGAACACAGATAAGCCACAACGTTACCAGATAAATTCACGATCTGCTCCCAACAGCTTGTTGCATGCAGCTTCCCTTTTTAAACACCGTGTTCCCAGCTGCAGTTAATGAAGGAATCAGGGCCCTTTCCTCCCCCGTAAGCCACACAACTCATGCTGCTCCCTTCTCTGTTCCTTCCTGCATGCCATAGGATGAAGAGGGGGTGGGCCTGGGTCTTCCTCTGAATTCCCTCTCTCTTGCTTTACCTCTCCCCTGCTCTGCCCAGCTGGACCACCCTTCCCCAGTTTTTTCCACAGCCAACAGAGCCACACTCCCACTCCCTGTCAGCTGTTCAGCCTCCCCCTCCGAATCAGATTCCAACAGAAGCATGACAAGTTTGATAGAGGAACTGAATCTGAGCCTGACTTCCTGTAACTTAAATATATTCTGAGACCTACACATGGACTCCTAGGGCAGGGGTCTCCAACCTTGGCCACTTTAAGCCTGGAGGACTTCAACTCCCAATTCCCCAGCAAAGCTGGCTGGGGAATTCTGGGAGTTGAAGTCCGCCAGGCTTAAAGTGGCCAAGGCTGGAGATCCCTGACCTAGGGAACACACTCTCCCACTCTATGCATCACTCTTCAGGCGCCCTTTCCTAACCTCCTGTCTTTTTCTTACTTTGAGAAGTATTCATAAGCAAGAGATGTGCCCCAAAGCACTTCCTTACTCATGCTTTCTGCAAAGCATTAAAGTGGACCTCCAAGTAGAGTAGGAGGGCGCCATTTTTATGACCTGTGGACTTCAACTCCCAGAAATCCTGTTCCAGCCATGCTGGCTTAGGAATTTTGGGAGTTCAAGTCCACAGATCATGAAGGAGGTATATTTGCCCATCTCTAGAGGATCCTGATGGAGGCAACATGCAGTCATCAGAGTTTAAAACATCTGTAGATTTCTACTGCATTTGTTGGTTTATTCTTCTTCCAATGCTATGAAGTTCTGGGAATATGTCTTTTATCTGGTCATTTCACATATGCTTCACAAAGCTTCTATCATCCTCAACCCTTCTGGCTTTTGTGCCTTTCAGCCATTAATTCCAAGACACTCACTGGTGGTTTGGGAATCTCTAGATACAGAACGCCAAGGAAATGTAACAAACCAACTTTCCAATAAATTGCTATTTCTTCTAAGCTCTTATGCCGTCTTCCTGACAACAGAATTTACCTTTCTGAAGTTGAAGTCCAGCCATCAGAGACTCTGAGGGGGGGAATAGGAAGAGAACTTGAAGCACTAACATAAACCCAGGGAGAACAAAAGCAGTTTATACAACAACATTGCATGCTAGGGAAACATTAAGTAGAAACCAAGAAGTATTTGGCAGGAGGGCAGTACGCTTTTCTTGTTTGAATCTAGCCATCAGATTCCAATAATAGCCAATGTAAATGTCACCTTCAAGATTCCTTTCCTTTCTCTTGCATCTTTCGGCTGCCATAGTAACGGAGGGAGGGGGAAATAATTGGGCTTTGTGGGTGTGGGAAACGTGCTGGATATTTTAGAGAATGAACTGTATAATTTGGGGGGGGGAACTTTATTGTTTATGCTTGCTTGCTTACTGCGCAACTGCAGGTCTTTATCAAAATAGGCCAAGGTCAATGGCCAGATGTCTGCATCACCACCTGAAGATGCCCCACATGACATTATGCACATCTTCGATTGGATAGACCGTTTGAACTATTGTGGTGGAAACGTCGCCATCACTTTGTATATGTGCTTTTCATGCATAATTCCTCAGATCTAGAATTACTTTGATGCTACCACTTGAATTCCAGTAAAAGTTCTTTTCTCTGTATTAATGGAGTCAAAGAATGTCTTTCTTGGATTTTGAATGGACCACCACCTGACAGTAAATTAATAACTTGTTTTATAGAAAGGAAAGGAAAAAAAATATGGAGGAGAGGAGAGGAAAAGATGAAGATGAAGATGAAGGGGAAGGGAAGGGAAGGGAAGGGAAGGGAAAGGAAAGGAAAGGAAAGGAAAGGAAAGGAAAGGAAAGGAAAGGAAAGGAAAGGAAAGGAAAGGAAAGGAAATCAACATTTGCTTTGGTCAAGGGCATCTGGTAGGGGAGTGTCAAGATAGCATTGGTGATCATAGGGCAGGACATAAAAATATATTAATTTTAGAGAAATAATGATAGCTTTATAGATAGTGAAATATGTGGCATTAGCAAGAGAAAGAACAAGCAAATGTGAAATGCCAAACCACAAAGATAATCTATCGGTCACAAAGTCATATTTGCCAAGAAACCTGTACAGTAAGCATCAATTCTATATTACCATTGAATATATTTCCAGTATTTTCCAGAAAAGGATTGATATCACAGAAATCCCAGGATCTCCATTTCAGTTCCAGAGGGAAAGCAACGGGGTTTTCAAGTGCTTTGTCATACCTGGGAGACAGGAACAAAATAAAGACATGTGGCATGGTTCCAATCAGCAGCTCAGAGACCATAGTGGCAATGAGAATAATTTTGGAGAACATTTGGCCCAAAAGGAAAGAGTTTAGAAAAATGTTATTTTGCAGAAAGCAGCGCCGTTGATATTCTGAGGGAAAGATACTAAAGATGCTAAGAAAAATGATGGTATCAACAACTTACAAGCAAATGAGTTGAAATGGCTTAGAACAGTGGCCCCCAACCTTTTTTGTGCCACGGCCGGGTACCGGCATCACAAAATGATCCGCAGCCCAGTACTGGCATCAGCATGGATGGCAAGGCGAGCCGAGCGACCGGCCAGCCAGCTATCCCCCATTTCTCCCCACCACCTTCAACTCCTCCTTTGTACCTTTGTCGATGGGCTTCGGGACAGCTTCGGGATGGTCGCTCGGCTCGCCTTGCCTTGGGTGCTGAAAGAATCCTCGCGCCTTAGTTTTGTTCGAAGCCGCCCCCACCCCTTCGATGAAACTAAGGCGCGAGGATTCCTTCAGGACCCAAACGCTGCTTTCCAACCGGAAAAGCTCACCAGAAGCACTTTCTCACCAAAACAAGATGGCGGCGCCCAGCAAACTGGCAGCCTGGTAGAAAATGTTCCATGGACCGGTACTGGTCCGGGGCCCGGTGGTTGGGGACCCCTGGCTTAGAAGGTGGTTGAGTCCATTCAGATAGGCAGCTCTGGTGGTAAAAGGACTGCCATATTTCTCTCCTTAGCATGTTAGTGACATTTATAAGAAACAGGGGTGAGCCAGGGGGTGGTGCAGGCACTATTTTTCAAATAAAGATAGTTTGAATGGCTTAGTGTAGATCACATTCCAAAATGTAAGGAGGGCCAGATCAAAATCATATAGCATTTAATTATAATTAACTTCTCAACCCAGAGCCAGTCTGGTATAGATACCGACTAAGAAACCGGGAGAAGGTAAGTTCTAGATCCACCTTAGGCGCAAGTCCCTCACTTCCAGCCCCAGAGAGAAAAGCGCAAAAACAAACCATTTCTAAAATCTTGCCCAAGAGAGTTGCCTTGGCCAGGCACTTGCCAGGAGTCAAGACTGACTGGAAGCCCCCACCCCCCCACCCCCAAAAGCAGGGAGTTTAGCACTATATCAAAACTTGCTCCAATGCAGTGGTGGGATTCAAACATTTTTACTACTGGTTCTGTGGGCATGGCTTGGTGGCCGTGACATGGCATGGCTTAGTGGGCGTGGCTTGGTGGGCATGGAAGAGGAAGGATACTCCTGGGGAAAGGTTACTGTAAAATCCCCATTCCCTTCCCACCGGCTAACCTGCTTTCCAGCTCCATTCTCCTGTGCAGGGCAACCAAAGAAGACCCAGCCGATCAGCTGGGACTTGGGAGGCGGAGAATAGATGGGGGCGGGACCAGTCAGGTGGCCTATCTCAGGTTTCAGCCTTATATTTACTTAACATTGGAAGAAAAACTTTGGTTCTTGCCCGCAGATCAGAGGTGGTATTTGCCGGTATTCTGAATTACTCAAAATTTCCACTGCCAGTTCTCCAGTACCGGTCAGAACCTGCTGAATACCACCTCTGATCTGTGGGCAAAAACCAAAGTTTTTCTCCCAATGTTAAGTAAATAGAAGTCTAAAACCTGAGATAGGAACAGGCAGAATATTTGCCTCAAAAAGGTGTTTTTTAAGCTAAGAGAAAAAAGAAGAAGGTAACAATCATATGATCAGCTGAAGCAGTGCTGTTAGTTCAGTTTATGGTTCTCTCCTTTTATTTATCTTTTTCACCAACAAATGCACGTGTATGCTTTTTTTAATCGCTCTTATTTTCATTGAAAAATAAAGGGAGAGAGAGAGAGTGGAATTCCACACTTCCCAAACAAAGATAGTCTGGAAAGCCATGTTCTCCGTGTGTTTCAACTCCCCCTGTTTCCTATCATTGACCATGCCAGCTATTGGTTGACCGGATTTGAAGTCCAGAGTATTGGGAGGGTGGCCTATTTTCCTGCTACATGGTCTTAGAACGGATAGAAGGGAATGAGCAGGATCTACTTACCTTTGCATGTTAGCTTTAAAATCCTACAAAGAAAAGAAAAAAAATCACAATTTTGCCCACAGACATTAGTTTGCACAGATTACTTCTTTTTTTAGCCACAGATTACTTGCATTTCTGTGACATGGATTACTATAGGAGCAGTAAATTCAAAGGAACCATTTTATATTCTGAGGCAAAATCCAGTCTCTGCTTTGTACCCAGGTTAGTTGCATTACAATTATTTGTCTTTTTACCTCTTTCATTTCCGATAAACAGATATTTTGTGATTGCCCATCTTTCAAAACACTCAGAAGTGTTCATTAGTCCAAAAACATGAAAGAAACCTAAGCTAGATCTGGTTATTAGCAACAGGATAATGAAGGATAGGAATAGGAATAGGAATAGGGTAGGGTAGAAGAATAGAATAGAATGGAATGGAATGGAATGGAATGGAACGGAACGGAACTGATTGGGGTGGGGTGGGGTAGAAGAATAATAGAATAGAATAGAATAGAATAGAATAGAATAGAATAGAATAGAATAGAATAGAATAGAATAGGGTGGGGTAGGGTAGGGTAGGATAGAATAATAGAATAGAATAGAATGGATTAGAATAGAATGGATTGGAATAGAATAGAATAGAATAGAATAGAATAGAATAGAATAGAATAGAATAGAATAGAATAGAATAGAATAGAATAGAATAGAATAGAATAGAACAGAACAGAACAGAACAGAATAGGATAGCTTTATTTAACCAAGAGTGATTAGACACAGAAGGAATTTGTCTCTGGTACATAAGCTCTCAATGTACATGCAAAACAACAGAGTTTTAATAATCACAATAAGGTTACCAATAAGAGAAGGCAATAAAAAAAGATGAGAAGGATAATAGTAATACAGCCATACTACATAGGTAAATGTTCTTAGATCTAAGACAGTACTTTGGGAATTAGGTAATCAGAAGAGCGATGGCACAAGGGGAAAAAATTATCTCTGTGTCTGGTTGTTCTGGCATGATTATGCCCAGGATGTGACGGGTCTGTAGGTATTCTTTCAGCCCTCCTTCTGATGCATTGCAGTATATAGGTCCTCAATGGAAAGCAGGCTGGTTGCAATTGTTTTTCTGCTGGCCTAACCAACCATTGAAGTCTGTACCTGTCCTGTTTGGTTGCTGTACCAAACCAGACAGTTATACAGAAGTGCAAATGATTTGATCTTTTCACATCCTAGGGAAGTGAAGGTGCCCCGTTTAGGATCTGAGTGGCTCTCCTCTGGTCACGAGCCCAGGCTAGTGTTAAAACCATCTTTTAAAACCATCTTACCATTAAGAACTCCACAGCTGGCTGCTCACACACCTCCCTCATCTCCTGAATGATACTTTTAAGCACAGTGCGTTCCTTTGAAAGCCCCTCCAGGTATTCCGTCTTGGATTTTTGAATATCCTTCTCTACCATTTTCATTCGGTTCTGTAGTTGTTTTTCCTGTTTATGCAGAAAATCGTGTAGTTGTTTGAACACATTGTTTAACTTCCCCCTCTCTTCTTCCATTTGTTCCTTTAATGAAGGAAAGAGAGAGTGTGTCAGGTGAGGCTCCATTCAAAATCCAAGAAAGAAAACCTTAGACTCCATTGTTATAGAGAAAAGGACTTCTACTGAATACTGAAATGGTAGCATCAGAGGAATACAAGATCTGGGGCAATCGGTGCGAAAATCACATATACAATGTTATTCCAATGTTCCCACCCCCGATAGTTCAAACTAAGCCATCCAATCTGAGATGGGTATAATGTCATGTGGAACATCTTCAGGTGATGTTTCAGACATCTGGCACACCAGGGCAGTTTACCTTGGTCTGAATAGATAAGAAGCTACATCTGCGCAATTAAAAAGATATCATAGTCAAGAATGCATTCCCAATGTTTACATTTCACTATCTCAAGCCTCCAGCACTCTTTCCACCACCACGAAATCCAGTTAATCTTCCCTCTCCCCATTTCTATGGCAGCTGGAAAGACAAGCAGAAGAAGGATTCTTGGAGGCTGACAGAGAGAGAGAAGGAGGGAGGGAGAGAGAGCGGGAAAGAGAGAGAAGGCAAGGTCAAGTTCACCACCTTTGGGATAAGCTTGATAATTAGCTGTTTTTTTCAAAATTCAGAATTAACAAGACTTACAAGCAGTTCGGCAATTTCATTTTCTGCATCTGAAGGATGGTTCTCCATTATATCTTTCTTTTCCTGCAGAAGTATAATCCGGCTCCGTAACAGGTCCTGAAAGAGATAAATTGAGTCATGTTTCAAACATGAACCTCAATTCTACAAGGTTGTTTACTTATCCATAAGAATAAAGATCCTTATTCTTTGGACCCCAAAATATAACTGTTCAAAACGAACTATAGATGATCTAAGATTTCTCCCAGACCAATTATTCTCCAATACCGTTATGTCAGTCCTGGCATAAACCACCATGTTGCTGTCTGCCAGTTTGAACCTAGCAAAGGGTCAATCTTTCAACAGGCTGTAATATTCAGAAAAAAGGGTGAACCAGTCTGTGTTGCCGTTTCGTATAAATACATGAAAGCCAAATCCGTGGAACAAAAATCCAAACAAGATTTTCATCAACTCCAGAAGAAAAGATGCCGGCATGTAAACCACATTTTAGAAGCAATAAGCATCTGCCTGTTGTGGTTCACTGGCAGCTGGTTCAGACTGCAGTGGAATCAGACAGTGAGGAAGATGGAGACCAGTCAGGAAATCTGGAGAGGACTCAGACAAGAGTCTTGCATCCGATGCAGGGACGGGGCCGGGACCATCTGGGAGTGGGGTGCTGCCTTCGGAGCCTTTGGAGTCTGGCAGCAGCGAGGCCGAGGAGCCAGGGGAGCCTGTTCCCAGTGCACATGTGCACAGAGCTGCTAGAAGGTGAGAGCAGCTGAAACAAAAGGGGAGACTCTGGAGTAAGTCTGGGAGGTGATTGCCCCTCCCATAAGGTATAAAAGTCAGGCCAAAATGACAAAACCTTTGCAGGAAGCAAAATAGTTCAATCGGTTCAGAGTCATCCTTGAAGCTCTGCGTACTTCGGTTGGGTTTTTTTTTGTACTTTGGTTGGTTTCTTTTCTAGTTTATTTGATACTTCTGTTTTTGGCAAGCACTTCACAGAACTGAAAGGCGCGTGCTTATCTTGAGGGACTGTTTAAGATTAATTCCAGCTGGGAATGAAAACAACTCCCAACATTGCAATAAAATAAGTCTTGTTTTTAAAATAAGTTTGTGCATAATTATGGTTTAGGAAGCCTGCGTCAGAACACTGCCACTGAAAATCCAAAGGCCCCTTAATAGCAATTCGCTACCTTTAATGGTTGAGCAGCTTGTTTGGGAGAAACTACAGTGTGAGTTTTATGTTCCGATGACTTGTGACAAACGGCACATATCAGTTTCTCATCCTCTTGACAAAACAGATCCAGGATCACTTTGTGTTTCGGGCAGACAAATGACTTTTCTGGAAGCAACCGAAGTTTTTCTTCCACGCTGGGCTGCTGTAGAATTCGCCAGAGTTTTCCTTCAGGGATCGGCTCTTCGCAAACAGGGCAGAAGAAAAGCCCTTCCCTTTTCCGTTCCCGATAATGATCGGTGATGCAACGCCGACAGAAGTTGTGACCACATTCTACAGCTATTGGATCTGTCAGGTATTTAAAACACAGGTCGCAAAATTCATCTTTTCTCTCAGGCACAGCAAGTGAAGTTGAGGCCATGACAGATGAAGACACTCTCTGACGAGCAGTGAGCTGCAAAAGGGAGCAACAAACACTCAGTACCTATTTTTAAAACTGCTTTTAGAGTAACTTTTACTTCCATAATTAAAGAGATGGTTTTTAAGGAAAACTTATACAAAATGTTTTGTAGGTGGCATTTACCACCAGAGAGGCTAGCAATGGTGTTTGAAAATTTAGTAGAAGTGTAATCAGATATCAGGTTCATATTATCAAATGGGGTGGACATGCACAAAGGGAAAACAATATTGGACTAAAATACACACTTGGTTAGAAAAAATGATAAAACAACATATAGATTTGAAACCAGAAATATTCCTGCTGGGTATATTACCAGAACAGTATAATAAAAGGAATAAATACTTAATTTTGCATGTAGTAATGGCCGCAAGAATAGTGTTTACACAACAATGGAAAAATGATGAGGTCCCGACAGATGAAAGTATAAGAAAAAGAAATAGAATGTGCTGAAATGGATAGATTGACACTTAAGATAAAAGAAAAGGAAGAAACAGAATATTTTTTAAACATGGGATGTATTTTACCAATGGTTAACTAACAGAAACAGAGGTTAGAAACTAAACAGAATTTAAAAAGATAATAAAAAATTGTACTGAAATTTTGCAAGATGGATAAACTAATTGTATTTTATTCTGTGATTAATATTGATATGTTTATTAAGATCATTAGTATGATTATAGTTATTGTTGTATGTTTATTTTAAAAATTGTGTCCAGACAACATGCTGTTCAGATAGACATGGAATTTCTTTATGTTTTTAAAAGAAAAATGTACCAATATATTCACCAAAAAATAAAGAGATGGTCTTTACTACAGATGGTGAGCCCTCTGGGTGTGGAAGGTAAATTTCTCCCCTTTTAAACAGGATTTCAATAAATGAAATGATGTTTTTCTTCTTATTTGCTCAAAAGAAAAAAAAACTACGCTATTGAATTTATGGGAGTCTTTGCTCACTTGTTTAAATAACTGTGGAAATGCTGAAGCCCTCTAGTCAATATATTTACTAGGTAGAATAGAATAGACCCTACACCATTTCAGACAAATGGTTGTCAAATCTCTTCTTAAAAACTTCCACTGTTAGAGCACTCACAACTTCTGGAGGCAAGTTGTTCCACTGATTGTGTACTAGCTAGTCACTTATTTTTTAATCATAGGCACCCCAGAGTTGTTGGGAATTGGGACGCCTATACATTGAATGTATGCAGGTATAAATAAATAAATGTTATAGGTTTCAGGAGAAAAGACTGAAGATGAAATGTCTTTCTAGAGTATTCCTTTTATTCATTGTCATGCAATGGATCCAAAACAAGAAGCCAACTGCTTAGAAACAAACAAAAAACCTACATCCTTACCTATTACTTGAGGTATAATATCATTACAGAACACGAATCTTTGTGTTTAGAACAGTGTTGTTCAACCTGGAGAACGTTCAGATATGTGGACTTCAACCCCCAGAATTCTATATTCTGAATTCTGAATTCTGAAGGCTGGTCAGGGAATACTGGGAGCTGAACTCCACACATTTGAAAGTTACCAAGATCAAGAAACACTTGTTTAGCAGCTCCTTATTTTCTAATGATATAAATGACTTATTGCATCAATTGCCTTTTATTTTGCTATCTGTAGATAACTACCTCTGTTTCCCCCAAAATAAGACCCAATCTTATTTTCTTTGGGGGCTCCAAATAAGCACTAGGGTTTATTTTCAGAGGAAGTGTCTTTTTTTTTTCCACACAGGCAGCTGTGCAGTGCATCCAGCAGGCCAGTACCGCCACCATGAGCCAAGGCAGGGGGGAATGCAGGACGGGGCACGGCACAGCGGGACTGGCCGCCTCTTGTGTAAAAGCCAGAGAAAGTGAAAGAGAAAGCGGGTGAGGTGTGAGAAAAATCCATCCAGGAAAAAGGAAATGGAAAGTCAGAAAGAACTGGGCGAAAAGTCACACCCTTCTGCCCACCAGGTCACTTCACCCTTCCCGAGAGAAGCCAAAGTTTCGATCCCGCTTCTGGGGTGGAGCAGAAAGTGAGGCACGCAGGCAGCCTGCCCTGAGGAGATTTGGCCAACCTTGTCCTGCCTTGCCCGCCAGGAAGGAGGCTGGCCACTGCCTCCTGCACGGTCCTTTCCATCCTTCCTGCAACCACAGCCCGCCTCTGACCCCCACAATGCCACCCATCTCCACACAGGCCCAGTCTGGATGGGTGGCAAAGGATATTGTTGGGGTGGCAAAGCTTGCAGAGCCCTGATGCTGATGGAGTGAGGAAGTGGTGGTATTGAAATTGTTTTACTACCAGTTATGTGGGCGTGGCTTGGGAGGCATGGCAGGGGAAGGAGACTGTAAAATCCCCATTCCCTTCCCACCGGCTAACCTGCTTTCCTGCTCCATTCTCCTGTGCAGGGCAACCAAAGAAGACCCAGCCGATCAGCTGGGACTTGGGAGGCAGAGAATAGATGGGGGCAGGGCCAGTCAGAGGTGAATGCTAAGGTGAACCTGAGAAGGTGAACACTTGTGCAACATCTGTATTATGTTCATTTGGATTACTTGCTCTTTTGCCAACAGCAGCCTGTCGGTCTTGAATTGCTTAGGTGCTTTGAGATGTTCCTTTTACATTAGCATTCCAGGTCATCATTTCAGAGTTTACATTTAGCTCACTTTGTTTGTTTATCCCGCTTCATTATTTTTACAAATAATTCAAGGTGGCAAACATATCCAACACATCTTCCTCCTCCAATTTTCTCCACAAGAACAATTATGTGAGGTTGGTTAGACTGAGAGAGAATGACTGGCTCAGTCACCCAGCTGGCTTTCATGGCTAAGGTAGAACTTGAACTCACAGTCTTCTTCCTACCTTGGTGCCTTAACCACTAGATTAAAATGGATCCGATGCCCATCTCAATATCAAAGTCATTTTGGGGTGCCTCAGATTATTTATTTTGTATTTATTTTATTTTTATTTATTTCATTTAATTTGTCAATTGCTTACAAGATAATAGGTATAAGTATATCCATAGTTATGAATACATGAAATGGGTACATATAAGAAAAATAAAAGAATCAATAGGAAAGGGATGGTAGGCATGTTGGTGCGCTTAGGAAAGGTCCTATCAAATTCTGTACCTGTCAACAGTGGTGCCCCCCAAGGCAGTGTTCTACGACCAACTCTCTTCATACTCTACATAAATGATCTCTGTGTTCATATTAAGAGCAATTGCATTCTCTTTGCTGATGATGTAAAGCTATTCAACACCACGGACAATACTGCTACCTTTCAAAAAGACCTCGACTATGTATCAGAATGGTCAAACAAATGGCAACTTCAAATCTCAACAAATAAATAAATGCTCTGTCTTACATATTGGCAAAAAAAATCAGAAAATAAAATACAAGCTGAATAGTCAAGATCTTGTTGATGATCCAAACTCTGTCAAGGACCTTGGAGTACTCATCTCTAATGATCTTAAGTGCTAGAGCCCATTGTAACCACATAGCCAAAAAGGCATTAAGAGTTGTTAACCTAATCCTGCATAGCTTTTTCTCCGGTAATACCACACTACTAACTAGGGCATAAAAAACATTTGCTAGAACAATACTTGAATATAGCTCATCAGTCTGGAACCCACATTATGTATCTGATATTAGCACAGTTGAGAAAGTCGAGAAATATTTCACAAGAAGAGTTCTTCACTCCTCTACTCATTGCAGAATACCTTATGCCACCAGACTTGAAATTCTAGACCTAAAAAACCTAGAACTACTCCGCCTTCGGTCCGATCTAAGTATAGTATATAAAATTATACATTGCAATGTCCTACCTGTCAATGACTACTTCAGCTTCAACCATAACAATACAAGAGCACACAATAGATACAAACTCAAGGTAAACTGCACCAAACGTGATTGCAGGAAATACGACTTCAGCAACAGAGTGGTCAATGTCTGGAATACTCTTACCTGACTCTGGGGTTTCTTCCCCAAACCCCAAAAACTTTAACCTTAGACTGTCTACTATTGACCTCACACCTTTCCTAAGAGGTCTGTAGGGGGCGTGCATAAGCGCATCAACGTGCCTACCGTCCCTGTCCTATTGATTCTTTTTATTTTTCTTATAAATACATTTCATGTATTCATAACTATGTCTATACTTATACCTGTAATCTTATAATTGCTTGACAAAACAAACAGAGACCAAAAAGCTTCTCTTCCCCTCCTGGTGCCAAGACACAAGGCCTTTCCCCAGAGAAATGAGGGTGTCTCCTCCGCTGATCCTGAAATCGATCCCTCTTTGATCCATGTGACACCACCCCAGAATCTCTCTTGGATGCTCAAAATGTCATCCAGGATAAAAACCCAGCAGCTGTTTTTTTTACCTCTCAATTTTTTCATGGCACTTTTCAGAAGCCCAGGGATATCACTGTAATCCCAGATGGTCCATTTTGGCTCTGGAAGTAAATCCACCGGATTCTCATATGTTTCCTTAGCCTGGTATCTGGCAAGACAAAAGAACAGAATAACAGAGTTGGAAGGTCATCTAGTCCAACCCCCCCCTCCCCACTGCCCAAGCAGGAGACCCAACACCGTTTCTGACAGATGGCAATCCAGCCTCCTCTTGAAAGCTTCATGATGAAGCTCCCACAACATCTGAAGGCAAAGCTGTTTCATTGGTTCATTGTTCTCATTGTCAGAAAATTTCTCCTTATTTCTAGGTTGAATGTCTGCTTGATCAGCTTCCATCCATTATTCCTTGTCTGGCCTTCAAGTGCTTTGGAAAACAGGTTGACCCCCTCCTCCCACTGTGGCAGCCCCTCACATACTGGAACACTGCTATCGTGTCTTCCCTGGCCCTTCTCTTCCCTGGACTAGCCATGCCCAGTTCCTGTAACCGTTATCAACCTGACAATAGAAGCAGCTTCCTAAAGCATCAGACGGTGCTTGAGGATTGGATAGCTATAGGATCCGGTCTGGGTTGGTTACCAGAGGTTTTGTCTTCTGAGCTTTTGGACTCAGGCTGGAGCCCATCCTCAGGAAACTTCTCTCTCCATCACCAGAATGTGTGCCCTGGGCTGTTCTACGCGTTGTGTTTATGTGGTCCCTGGTTGTGTGTGGCTTTCACTGGTTAAGTGGGATGTTGATAGCCACCTATTAAGTCATTGATTGACATTTCCTTGTGTGGCTCCATCTTCGGCTCCTAACTACTGGTGGTAAGCTGGTGGTAAATCAGCACTCCTGTTGACTGACAAGGGCCCCCATTTCCCAGGCTTCAATCAATTCTCTGGCTAGCTATTCAAGTATGGGCACCATGGTGACCCAGTGGATCCTGATCCAGAACTTCACTCATTCACCTTCATCAAGCTAAGCAAGAGATTTAGGAGAGGCAACTAAGTTTCAGTTTGGGGCTCCCTACTCTTGAAAATTCTTGTGAATCTCTTGGTGAAAAAAAACGGATTGTATCTTACCAAATGACCGATGTCTATTTAATTAGAAAATGGATATAACATTCAAACTGATCTTGGTGGATTAAAGGTAATGCAATGAAATTTAATAGAAACAAATGCAGTTACAAGTAACCTTCAATTTATGACTATTTGTTAGCAACCAGTTACAACGGCTCTCAAAAAACGGACTTACAACCATTTTCACACTTAACATCTTCATAGTGTCCCTGTAAACACAATTCGGCAACCAGAATATATTGATGATAGTTGCATTACTTGGAACAACTTACATCCTTGTAATGATACCTTTAAAACCATCTAACATAAGTCTCCTCTTGGATAGGACTCAATAAGTGGATAAAAATGCCAATTTCAGTCTAAAGATCTGGCTGAGTTTCTCACAGACCATAACAATATACCATATCAAATATTGCTAATTATGCTGTGTTGAGGTTGCCTAATGAAATATCTACAAAACTCTGAAATACATACATGATCTTTAAATTATATCCTACGATAATATTAACACCATCAAACATCTGTAAAAATCTAATAAAAAGCCGAATTCAATCTAAACATCTGGCTGAGTGTGCAACCAACTATTGATCATATCAAATATTGCTAATTATATTGTGTTGGAAGTTATCTGAGGAAGTATCTAAAAAGCCCTGAAGTACAGTACATTCTCTTTACATTAAAATACTGCTGAATACAACCAGAACTTTCCAAAATAGGAAAATTGCTGGAGGATCTGCAAATCTCTGAGACTGTAAAGAAAAGGTTGGATTTACTTACTTCTTCAAGATGCTTCCAATGTCCTAAAAAATAAAGAGATGAAGCATTGAAAGGAGCCATTTTTATACAGAAAATTAAATGCTAAACATTCACAAAATATAAAGATGTGTGTGTGTGTGTAGATGTAGATGTAGATATATGGTATTCAGCTTTGTTCGGGTATTTTCCCACGTCATTATAGTTGTGCTTTTAAAGTTGTAGCGACGTTTCGGCAGAATCTCATCTGCCATCATCAGGCTTGTGTACAGATGAACACAATACACAAACCTGATGATGGCAGATGAGATTCTGCCGAAACGTCGCTACAACTTTA